TTATCCTAACAGCAGAATTTGCCTATAATAATAAGCAACACTCTGCTACCAAACATACACCCTTTTACCTAATATATGGAAGACATCCTAACATAACTTTCAATTATAGAAAGTCAAATGTGGAAGAAGCAAACAAATACCTAAAGGAAATAAAGATAGTACAAGCAAATGCTAAGGAAGCAATAGAGAAATCACAGGAACAAATGAAAAAGTATACTGACAAACACAGAGGAAATCTTCCAGAATTAAAGGAAGGGGATTTTGTTTTACTAGATAGTAAAAACTTAAATCTAGCAGTACCAACTAGAAAGTTGGCAAACAGGTATATAGAACCATTTGAAATAGAAAAACAAATAGGGGTAGTAAATTACAAGTTAAAACTACTAGAAGGGATGAATATTCATCCAGTTTTCTACTCAGGATTGTTAATACCTTATAAAGAAAAGGAATACCCAGGAAGACAAGTGTATACTAATCTAGACCCAGAGTTAATTAACAAAGAGTAGGAATACACAGTAGAAAACATTCTAGATAGTAGGAAGAGGAGGAACAAATATTAATATTTGATCAAATGGTTAGGCTATCTAGACATAGATAATACTTGGGAACCATTTGGAAAAGGATTAACTAATTCAGCAAAGTTAATCAGGGAATTTCACATAAATCATCCAACAGTAGTAAAGCCACCACACTTAGAAAACTAGTTAACAAAGAGACTAGGGCATAGTTTACTAATAAGTAAAAGAATACCAGTTAAAGAACAGGACACAGGAGACATAGTTCTACAAGAAGAACAAATGTAGAAAGACTAGATGAAAAGGAAATCAGAGTCTTCAGAATACTTTAGTATTCTAGCTTCAGATTCAAGTACAAAAGAAATTAGAGAAGGGTTGGAAAAACTTCAGCTGAACAATAAACCTACTACAGAAAACCAACCTCTAAATAACAAAAGGAGACAAACTAGTAATTACAAGAGATGGCAACCTCAGAAAAAGAGAAACAATACTAGGGATACAGATGAATCTGAAGAAGACTATAATACATACTATATAAAAACATTACAATTAGAAGAGGAACACACTAATTGTGAGGAAGAGTATAGTAAAATGAAGAAACACAATACTATACAAGGAGATTCTATTATACAACAACTTGAAAGACAACAAGAAATACAACCACAATTTACTCAAGAAGATATAAACAATATTATGGATCCAGATAGAATACTAAGAGCTCTTATTGAACAAATAAGACAGAAATACATAGTCTAGTATGAAGAAGCAGAAGCAGTCAACAAACCATGGGTCAGAAGAACATAGGAAATAATTATGAGTGGTTACTTTTTGAAAGCAAAAAGTGAAGAAGACAAAAACTTCTTGAGGGAAACTATTAAAAAGGGAGTCACTCCTATGGGAGGAGACAACAGACTCTGGATACAGTAAAAGGTATAATAGAAAAGGGTCCTGAATATGACATTAAACTATTCCTATAATAGATCTTGAACAATAAGAATATTATAGTATATGGGTTCTGAATAGGACAGTAAACTGTTCCTATAATAAATCTAAAGAAAAGAGATTGTTATAGTAAGGTAGCTCTTAATTGAGTGAGTTAAGTTCTGAATAAGATAATAAACTATTCCTACAATAGGGAAAATTGTAGTATGGTAGCTCTTAACTGAGTGAGTTATGTCCTGAACAAGACATTAAACTATTCTTATAACAAATCTGAAGTACTAGATTGTTATAACAACATGATTTGAGTAAATCAGAAAATTACTCCTAATACAAGGATAAAAAGGGTATTAGTATATTATATGTCTCCTCCACACTCATAAGGACATATAATAAGGTGCTCCATACACACCTTCTGAACAGAAGTAAAACTAAAGAGGGTAACTAAACTAGAAACCATAAACAAGAGGGAATGACTTCCTACCAGTTAAATTTAGTCTTTAGGGTGTACTACTTCAGTCAGGGAGTCTGAATACTAGTCAAACTAGAGCTAGCTAGTAAAGAACTGGGAGGCAGAGGACACATTAGTCTATATTGTAGGCTAACACTAAAAGCAGAATTATAGCAACTAAGGTAAAGGTAGAAGCCCTTTTAATAAGTTAACTAGTTACAACTGTTAAAAGGAAACTATACTCACAAGTGTGGCTCTCACTTTTCAGCCATGAAAGTAGGTTATAAAAATTAGCCAAAATGAAAGGAAAAGGCATTTATATTCACTTTAATACAGAATACAAAAGAGGCAGACTATAAACAGGA